TGAGTGGATCCCCCTGGTAAAACACCTATCCTGAGGGGGACAGGTGCCGTGGACCACTCACTGGAATAGATGGTTGCAGACAGACCAGTGTACCATGACTGAAGCAGTCTGCAGAACTCTGGAGGGGCGTGGTAGTGAGCCAGGGAGAACTGGATAAGGGAGTGATGAACACTCCCATATGCGTTGGCAATGTCAAGCCACGCTATTGCCAAAGAACGTTTCTTCTGCCTAGCTGTCTTGATGACTGCTGCCAGCTTAGCCTGATGCTCTGTGACTCCAGGGATGGTGGGAAGGAATGCCTTCTGCAGGTCAGAGTTGGGGTAATTGTTTGCACGCATGTGCCTCAACCATCTCTGCTTCAGGATGCCCGAGAGCAACTCGCTGATGCACAGAGTGAGGGCAATCGGGCGGAAGTTTCTGGTGATGATGGATCTTCCCTCGCAGAGCTCTTCGGAATTAGCTTGGCAGCAGCCACTTTCCAGGCAGACTGGACAGCACCCTCCATGATGACACTATTGAAGAGATCGAGAAGGGCTGGATGAATGGAGGGACATCTCTTCAGGATGGTGTATGATATCCGATCAAGGGGGGAGGGGGCAGACGAGGATTTGGACTTCCTGATCACTCGAGTGAGCTCCTCAGGAGAGACTGGCGACATGTCCATGGAGCAGTCTGAGACGGGGGAAGGGGGAGAGGACATCCATGATGGCGTTTCAAACTGATGAGGGCTGGACATGTAGACCTCCGAGAAGAAGGAATGAGCAGCCCTTGCAGAAAAATTCGGAGTGGACTGAGAGGTGGTGTCCCCATCCAGAAGGCACTTGGCGTACCTCCAGAAATTATGGTGACACTCCTCTCTGACAATGCTCGCTTCCTTGTCCTGGAGTCTACGAGATGACTTCCGCTTCAGCTTACTGTGTTCACGGAGGAGGGAGAGGAAATTGCCAGAGAGGGACTGGATGGTGGACACACTCTCTCCCTGCCTCCTTACTCTTCGAAGGGCCTGTCGAGCCTCGTTCTTGAGGCGAGTCACTCTCCTCAGGGTCCTGTCGTGCTGCCTCGGCCTCTTCTTAGGGCGAGGAGGGTTCTAGTTCCATATCGGCCTGCCATGATGTCATATATGCCATTAGTTAGGATGTTGTTCTTCTCTTCTATGGTGGTAGCTTGCAGGACAGATGGAGTAATAACAGATAGAAGTAAGTTTGCTTCATCCCACTCCTCAGGTGACTTGGGCAGCCTGAGGGACTGCTTGGAGTGCGGGAGTGTAGATGGGACTTGGTTTGCGGTTCGGTAAGCTGTAGAAACAGCTGATGTCTCATGCGAAGAATTCAAATTTCCGGGTTGCGTCGTACTGCAATTTGAATGAGACGTCGCGGAATTTGAATTTGCGGTAGGGAAGATGGTATTCATGGAGCTGGAGGGCGGGGCACTCTGCTGATCTTGGACATCGCGGCAGGTAGCGCTGACCCATAGGTGCGTGTCGAGGCACTTGAAACTCCGGCCGCATTTTGAGACCTTCCTCGAGTAGTTGCCATGTTCCGTTGAGTAGCGTTGCTTGACGGGTTGTTTCGTGTAGTGCAAAGCAGTAGTCCAGTATACCACAAGACTCCTCGCTGCAAATCCTCGCGAATGGCGATAAAGATGTTTAGATTCACTTGGATATGAGTCGAGTATAGAGGACTAACAGTCAGAGCTCTTTCCAACCGACTGTCTGCGCCGCGTAATTTTCTCTCTCTCTCTCTCTCTCTCTCTCTCTCTCTCACCCATTCCTCAGTGCCTCTCCTTCTTCCCCTAATCAGTTTTGTTTGGTTGAAATAAATGCCTGTACAAGTACCGTGATATTACCAGAAGAAGCTGCACAACAAACTGATTTTTGCTGCACCTATCAACAGACAAAGCGAAAAAGTAGTGGAACTCAAACGCAAACACCCGTACTTCACACGGGTCCAAGGCCAGCTTACTATCACATAGAGAAAGTGGTGTGGCTTTGTGATTTATACCATAAAGGGGCTCTCTGTAGAGCGCATGAATACGACTCTGAATTTTCGAATAATAAATTACTTTCGAAGTTAATAACATTTTATGATTGTTTGCTTTTGCCCCTCTATTGTCTCACCCATGCATTTAAAGTACATGATCTTAGACTACTCTCATAATCATGTCATTTTTGCATACATACTCTATTTCGTCATCACTAGGCTCCGTGTCTGCATCATCGTCTGATTCTGTGTCAAAATACACATCTAAGTACTCTTCCACTTCATCAACTTTTCAATCGGCTTTAGAGGAATAAGGATGACTTGAAAGTTAACCAGCCATGCACATGCACAAGCGATTTGGTTCGCAATCCTTGACAATGTTATGTGCTGTGTCCTCCAGGCTCCTGCCTTCGGGCCATCGGAGTCCATGGTCGTTTCGCCGAGTAGCTGTCTCATTCGCCGCAGAAATTGAGATTGCTTGCAATCGCCGAGTTCTATTGCGTGGACGAGCTGCGTGTCGTAGGGGTTCTCCAGTACATCAGTATAGTGTCGCGTACCTCGGCGGCGAACTCGGGGGAGAGGGTGGCTACAACATGGTCGTACTGCGCTGTGCTGCAGCGGGTGGAGAATTGTGCCTCAAGGTTTTAGCTGGTTACTGATATTGTTGAAACTGAATAACAACAACAATTAAATTGCAAATCCTTGGCGGAGACGTGTGTGCTTCCTAGAGAAGGGTTCCATGTCAAAGCAAATTTGAGGAAGACTGCCTATATACACAGTCTTCTGTGAAAGGCTGCAGGCGAGGTAAGCATGCTACCAAGTGGGCATTTTTTCGCTGTGCATCTGGCATGTTTATAGGCTTACAGGATTAGAATATCTTGCGCATGCGCGAACAGATTATGCCGGGCACGAAACGCAGGTGCGGAGTACACGCATGTGTTGTACTTCTAATTGGGGTGGGCTATTTGACCTACACGTGGTCTCCTACCAGGTCGCTGAGAGTCAGTAACGGGCTAGCTACACTACTAGATAACATGCATCTCGAGGTAAGCCCGTGCTGATTTTGCATATTGGCTCGTTCACTTGGTTTTCGCACCGTAACTCCCGAACACAGCAGTTTCAGAGGTAACCCCACATATTTTTTTACGTTTATCCCGATGCTAAATATGTGGTATCGTTTGTGGAGTGATTGATTGCTCATGAAGGAAGGTATCCTGCGGAGAGACAAACAGACATACGCGACAAGTATATACAGTAACCTCTTGGTAACTCCTGAACACTGAGAAAACCCCACATGTGTTTTACCGTTTATCCGACGCTCAATATGTGGTATCGTTTGTGGATCGATTGTGAAGGGAGATAGCTCGGGGACAGGCAGACACACATGACAACTACAATAATCCTCGCTGCGCATGCGCCGAGGGTTAATGAATTTAGAAATCTTACGTTTGTGTTTTGACCATATAAATCAGACTGATATGTCCGAAGTGGAATCTGATTGAAAGTGAAACGTAAAATGTATGGGCATTATTCAGGATGACCTGTGTCATCCCTCTATTCCAAGTACCACCCTACTTAGTGACCTCTGTAAGCTCCCTATAAGAATTGCTGTTGTTGTTTACGAACATGTGGTCATAATTAACCCTCGGCGCGCATGCGCAGCAAGGGTTACTGTAGTCGTTTGTGTGTCTGTCTGTGTGTCTGTCTACGACTATTCTCGCACTATAGGCTACGATGCGGCTTATGAGCGATACCAACAGCTTTAGCGGTACATGGGCTAGAAAAATAAAAATGGCGATTTTGCTGAAACGACTGCGTTCGAGAGCGACAAACTGGCACGGTCGCGGACAGCGTTGCGTGGCCCACCCCATCAATAAGCGGTGCGCATGCGTGTATTAGACGCTATTATGCGGCTCACTTCCACCTGATCCGCTTGCTCTGTGTACTTTGGAGGCACAAGAAGCCACAGCGAAGGGTGTGTATCGACTCCCGCATGCTATCTACTACTGTAGCTAGCCAGTGTCAGACTCTCCGCAAGCTACTAGCGGGAGACCGCGAGTAAATGCCAATCGCCCCAGCCCATCCATTAGCGGTACCGCGCATACGCAGTTCGCCGAGGGTTTGCACTTTAGTGCTTTTCATTGTAATATGCAAGCATACTCCATGTGTGGTACCATTAGCAAGTTTGAGGAGTTAATTAAAAATATGAAGAAAATTGCCTGAGGCTATTGTTGTTGTGTAGGTAACAAGTAGTTGTCATGTAAATCATGTCATACGCATGCGTACCAACTTTTATATCGATGTGTTGTACCGTTGGCAAGTTATAGGAGTCAAGATGTAACTATTGCCTGAGGCTCTTTGTTGTTGTATTGTTGTGTTTTATAGTGGTCATTATGTGTATACAAACTTTCATTGGCGCAGCTCTTAGCATTTTATTGTGCTTTTTGTTGTTGTTTACAGTAAGCAATTAGTTGCACATGTTGTTATCGATATGTACATTTGTACAAAATTTCATGGCTTTATCTGTTTTAGTTTTTTTAATTACGTTGGTTTAAGAAGAAGAAAAACAAGATGAGGAACAAACCTATCATAGTCCCATACATCAATAATGCTAGTAGGTGCCAATCCCTATGTACTAAGTAATACCATACTTAGCAATAATTGGAGCCACAGTTTGTCAGTAGCATGATCTTTTGATATTTTTAAGCCGTAGGTCCTGACTACTGTAATGTTGAATGTTTCATACTTCACCTAGGCAGGGATATGCAGATATTCAAAAAGTGCATAAATATAGCTTTCATTTGATACGTAGTTTGGTATTCATACTTCAAACATGGAAATGCGCTGTGAATTGTCGCCTATTTCCAGGTGATAAGGGTGAAGCACCACGTTAGTGTTTAAAGTTCCTTGCATTTTCCGAAGTGGAGGATGTAACAGAGACTGTCATTGGCAGCAATGTACAGTGTTAACACTTGTCAAGTTAGTTACAGTTCTTGTGTGTGTATGCTTCTGTTTTTTTGTAGACACTTGCTCTCCTCACCCAAGAGCTGGACTTGGTGAAATCTCTCAGTTCCACATTGTCATCTTTTAAGAGTGATGCATCTGGGATGGAACACTCTAAAAGAGAAAATAATATGTCAGTGGACCCAAATGTGTGGCCCACCATCACTCCTACAGAGAGTAGTAAAGGTAAATATACGCGCAAAAAATACCACAAAGGGCGTGTATCGACTCTTGCATTCTATCTTCTAGTGTAGCTAGGCCCCTGTCAGACTCTCCGCAAGCTGTACGTACTAGCATGGAGACCAGGAGTAAAAACGCATACTTCATAACCCAGCCCATCCATAAGCGCTACTGCAGATGCGCAATGCGCCTAGGTTGTGCTTTCCATAACCGTCGGCGCGAATACGCAGCAGGAGTTACAGTACTTGTTTGTGTGTGTGTGTGTGTGTTTACCACGTTTTCTGCCAGCCAATAAACTATGCCAATAGGTTCGGTGCTACACTGGCTAGATTTTAAAAGTGGCCGATTTTCATAAACTGCGTTTGAAGTTATGGCATGAAACGCAAGTGAACATGCCAATATGGAAATTAGCACAGGCTACCTCGACAAGATGTGCTTACTCTGTGTAACTTGGAGGCTCAAGAAATCTCAACGAAGGGTGTGTATCAACTCCCGCATGCGTTCTACGGTTGTAGCTAGGCCCGTGTCAGACTCTCTGCAAGCTACTAGCGGAAGACCATGAGTAAACCCATATTACGGCCGAGTCCATCTATTATCGCTATAACTCTTGCGCAGTTCGCTGAGGGTTTGCATTTCAGTGCTTTTCAAACCCTCGGCACGCATGCGCAGCGAGGGTTACTGTAGCCATTCTGTCGGTCTGTCTGTCTGTCTGTCCGCACGAGTTCTCGCACTACAGGCTACGAGGCGGCCAATGAATGGCACCAACGGGTTGTGAACAACGAGAAGATGGATATTAATATGGCGATTTTCCTGAAACGACTGTGTTCCAGAGATATGGCTTTAAAACAAGCGAAAAAGCCAACGTGCGATCGATCGCGCACGCTCCCTCTCCGGCAGGCTATATAGTGCGCACGCGTCATGTCAAATATTCGCCGGCGCATGCGCTACGCCACGTTGATTGTATTATACGATCCACGGGCTTCTGTCAGTTTTGATTTCGTTTTCAATGGATAAACATGCTGAGCAAGGTATGTTCGCAATGTAGCATAATAGTTCAGTTGGCGAGCAGTTTGTGGCTGCGGCCTTGTCTTCCCATCTATAAAACGTCTGGCGAGAGCATTGAAACACAGAAGAGCGAATTAATAAAGCAAATATGAGAGCCTCTGAAACACCTGAGCCATTTCTCTAACCGCTAATGCAACTAGCTACCCTGTGTTACGGCGAGACTCGTGTTACTGGCTCAGTCGATGACGCACGGCCCAGCATACAGCGATGCTACAACTCGCGCGTTTAGCGCCGAGGGTTTGCACTTTAGTGCTTTTCATTTTATAAGTGGTTGTGTCGCACAAATTTCAGCCAGTCTTGGGTCCCGCTGTGTGTGAAATGGAAGCAACCTCGCTAAAGAGGGTGTGAGCATTGGCATTCGATGTGTCAAAATAGGTTTTCTCAGCTGGCTGATAATGAGTGTTAGGGTGCAACCTTTGTGCCTCAAGTTTGTGAAAATTGTTAGTTGAAATAGGTAGTAGGTAAGTGCTGAGAACAAGAAGGACAGCAAACCAAGTGTCGCTACATGGAATTCTCAAGGCTTTGTAGTGAAAGTAAGCAAAGAGAGGTAGGGCGCTTTGTGCACGCTCTATATTGATGGACAGGAATTGTGGGATAGGGAAGGAAAGAATTCCTGTTGGTTACCAAATGGTTTTACCTCCAGATCTCATTATACGAGTGGCCTGCCCTCTCTAGGTTGGACATGGTATACTTTATAACGTTATCGGCTAATTCCAGGGGCGTCCCCCAAACTCTGGGATGTCGACATTTTGGTAGGTAGATAGGCCACGGCATCACTGCAGGAACTTAACAGCACGTCCGGACAACACTGATGCACACACACTCAAACTTCGTACTAACCTGGCCCTCCTCCTAATTCTCTTATCTGCAAGGTGTGTGCACTTTGGCTATGCTCAATGCTGCTTTTGTAGGCACCAGGCAAGCATTGCGTTACGATAGCTACTTGCAAGTGAGTCTTAGCATAGATTAATGTTCTTAGAGAATTAGAAATGCAACTTCTCCCTTAAACAATATTACATTATGTATGTATGAGCCATTTGGCTATATAGGTCATCTCCTGCAAACATTGCCTCCGAACTTGATATTGATTTTTACACAAAAGTACGAGGTGCACAGACTGAATTGTCTTAGCAATCTGTTAACATTGTACGTAGGTAAAATATTATTTTGTATATAAATATAACATTTTCTTTTTACGTCAGCAGGGACTCCCCGACAGGCAAACTCCCTAAAATAAGAAAGTCAACCTTCCAAGTCTGTCTAAGCAATGTTAGTGCTATAAGATACTATCACTAAGTACAGTAGCATTGCTGAGTAATGGACCTAAATGTCTAAAAACACAAGTTCCAGTGTCTATGTACAGCCTCAGAAAATATTACTTCTCTCGAACTCTTTAATGGTAACACACATGGAGAATATACGTATGTATTCGTATTACACGACAACACTACCAATGGAAAGCACATAAACTGCAGACCCTTGGCACAAAAATAAACATGAAGGTATTAGACCATGTGATGCCAAGAGAAAAAAGATGCGGAGCTCTGGACAGCTGTTTCAGGCGTTGGCACCACAACTTCACTCTCCGGCATCACGAGTTTATAAAGGCTACCAGGAGCACAGCACTTGTGGTTCTGAACTAATGAGATTCATCCCTTGCCACTGGTATGTGCTGCTGACCATGCCAAGACATTCATGGTTTGGAGCCTAGCCCCTCCCTACATGCACATGTTGATGCAAACCTGTTGAACAATATGCATATACATAATGCACTGATGGGTCGGGCCACGCCATGCGGTTTTGACGGAGCCTTTTTTCGCTCGAACGCAGGCCGGCCAGTATGACCAGAGCAACGCCAGAATGAATACACACCTTCAGGGTAACTCATCCTGCAGCAGCAGTGCTCGAATTAACCTCTGGTAAACGGACAATTTCTGGTCAATTATTGCGCGTGTATGGTCAAAGTTCAGGTTGAGCGGCAAGGATGTCCGGGACGAAGGCATCCTTGTGCTGTCACTACCGACGAGACACCCTTCACCTGTGTTCCTCCCACGAAATGTGTGAAGTTAACAACGTACAGCGGACAAGTTGTTAGCCGAGTATGATAAAGAGCTAAACACATCCGTTTGGCATAGGTATGAGCTAGTGTGGGCCGTGCTGAAGTGCGCGGTATGCGCACGGTTCAGAACAAGGCTAGAGTCAATGCGCAACTATTGTTCAGCATTATCGATGGTACAACTGACGTTTGCACCTCAACGTTGAAGGAGTACGCTAAAACATACATACACATTTGAGCAATGTCTCTGTTCAAGAAGCAGCAATCTAGAATACGCACTAATTGCTAGTGCGCTTACTAATCTGTGACGAGCGGTCAAAGCAGAGAACAGAACGCAAGTTTGAGGTTTCGTACATGATATTAAAAAGAGAAGTTTGCATTTAACCTCTCTGTAACTTGGATGAGAAAAACGGTGTTGACTTGGGTCCAGGCTTATGGGAACGATCACGCCTGCGCCACCTTGATTGATTACATCCCCCGTGATTTCCAGCAGCAACTAGTAGCTGCACTAAATCAGCGTCAATTTTCAGCCGCCAAGCGAATAGTAGCACTGACACAGGAAATACAGAGAATGAGCTTTTCTTGTACTTTACTTTAATCCCCATTCCACAGGTGGCAAAGTCCATGTGAGGGATAGATATCTTACTGTTAGGGAGCTTGGTAGTGGCACTGCTTCTGGTCTGTTGGAATGCCATGAGAGGGCCCTCCAGTATTTGGGCATTGCTGATTGGGAGCAAAAGATGATTGGTCTGGGGTGTGGTGGGTGCAGTGCCAATATGGGGGAGAGGGGACTCTGAGGTTTACTTCAGCAGAGGCTTCCGTGGGTCGTAGTTTTCTTGTGCTTAGCTCACAGGCTTCAGCTCTCCCTGAAGGATTCACTGAAAAATACCTTTTTCAGTGTAGTTGATGAGCTCCTCCTCCAGGTTTATTATGCGTGTGAAAAGAGCTCCAAGAAGTAGTAGACGAGCTCAGAGCATAGTTAGAGCCTAGTGAACTCTCTCTACAAGGGGGTAACCGCCCTCTACATGCTTGTGGCACAAGGTTTGTTGATGAAGTAGCTGCTGTAGGAAGTGTCATTGACCGATTTGGTGCCTACCTTGCTCACCTTGTAGTCTTCGGGGAGTTCCTGGCCGTATGGTGCCACCTATGCCAAGTGTAGCATGGCTTTCGCTGGCAGCAGCAGTTCAACAGGGGGTGCTCAAGTCAGTATGAAAGCTCTGATCATAGGTTACAGTGATTACCTTTATAGACGACAAGGGAGACAGAGTGACGGGGCTGTGGTGAACTGTGCAGGACAACAATCAGTGTGACAACAGTATTTGCACAGTATTATGGTTGTTGGTGCTGTAAGGCTCAGGTAACGTGGCACCACACTGCAACACATGCATTCAAAACTTGTAAGGGCAGGAGAGACAGAGATACTTTCCCATGCTGTTGCAATCCTGGCAAGACATGGACCGCTGCCTTTGCTCACTCAGCCTTGAATGCTGTCTGTCAGCATTTTTCAATACATGCAAGTGGAACTGTGCTGTGGGTGTTTTGGGGAAGTCTTAGGGGTTTTTCCCCACCCAACTACGTTTCCAGTCTGCGAACTGGTCATGTGGCGGTACACTTGCAGTTTGACTGAGCAGCTCAGCGACTGGACCTAGCAGCTTGGAATTGACCTAATAATCAGACGTGCGGTAACTACTGACAGCAACCCCCACGTAATGTCGACAATGGGTTCTGGGTTCGTGGGTGATGAACTATCATTTACGAGTTCACAAGAGCTCAACCAGTAAACATGATCAAAACCACTTGTAAACGGCAACAAATAGCCTCAGCCAGTAATAACTTGTAAAATGGTTTTAGTGCCTATAACTTGGTTAGCTGTGCCCTCTACAATTTGTTTACTGATGTATTATGATAATGCATGTTCAAAAGTTACACAACAAACAACCTTGGGCGACTGGTTAAATTGCTATAACTTGCTTCGCTGTGGTCCAGGTATTTGACATAAACCAATCTATTTTACTATGGTATGCAGAACATTGTAACTGAAGAATTTGACGTTGTGTGGTTCTTAGTGTAAAGTTTAATTGCAGCTCTTAACACAGCAGCATAATGGAGCTAAACAACTGGTGGTTAATACCTTACCAAAACTTCATACAATTATCTACAGTTGAACCCCATTGTTAGTCTCTTCTACCTACCAAAACACTGTTTTCTTTACCAAATAAGGTACACCAATGTCTAAGCAAGCAAAGTATAGCAGGTCTGCTATTCCTGGCTCTGGTAAAAAGCCTAAGACTGAAACAAGCAAGGTATGTTACTCTGTCGCAATTTCCATTTTGTCAATTTAGAGTTACGTATGTAATACATATAGGGACAACCATGCATTAAGCAACTTCCACGTAGGATCGCTAATTAAGGGGGTACCTACCTGACCATGGGTGAACCCTCAGCGTGCATGCGCAGCGAGGGTTACATTAGTTTCCGTGTGTGTCTGTTAGGTGACATCTCACTTCACGAGCCATCAAAACGCTCTACAAGCAATACCACGTATTCAGTGATGTAAGATTTTCCCTGAAACTGCTGCCGTTCAATAGTTACGGTATGAAACACGATTGAAAAAGCCAATACGCAAATCAACACCACCTTCCGCGAGTAATGTTTCCAGTTGGGCGTACTAACTGAGGGAAAGCCAATGACTCCAGCGATCCTACGATAGCCAAGCTGAGCTGCCTGGACATCCACCCACACAACAACACTGTTGATGTGTTGGGCCACGCAACGCTGTCCGCGACCGTGCCAGTTTGTCGCTCTCGAACGCAGTCGTTTCGGCAAAATCGCCATCTAGCCCATGTACCGCCAAAGCTGTTGGTATCGCTCATTAGCCGCCTCGTAGCCTGTAGTGCGAGAATAGTCGTAGACAGACACACACACACACAAAGAACAACTACCGTAACCCTCGCTACGCATGCGCGCCGAGGGTTGCGTGTCTGTGTGTCTGTCTGTCTGTATACGACTATTCTCGCACTACAGGCTACGAGGCGGCTTATGAGCGATACCAACAGCTTTAGCGGTACATGGGCTAGAAAAATATTATAATGGCGATTTTGCTGAAACGACTGCGTTCGAGAGCGACAAACTGGCACGGTCGCGGACAGCGTTGCGTGGCCCAACACATCAATAAGCGGTGTGCATGCGTGTATTAGACGCGATCGACGCAGTATGCTGGCTCACCTCGACCTGATCCGCTTGTTCTGTGTACCTTGGAGGCACAAGAAGCCACAGCGAAGGGTGTGTATCGACTCCCGCATGCTATCTACTACTGTAGCTAGCCAGTGTCAGACTCTCCGCAAGCTACTAGCGGAAGACCGCGAGTAAACGCCAATAGCCCAGCCCATCCATTAGCGGTACCGCGCATACGCAGTTCGCCGAGGGTTTGCACTTTAGTCTAACCCTCGGCGCGCATGCGCAGCGAGGGTTGGTTTGTCTGTCTGTCTGTGTGTGTGTGTGTGTGTCAGCGCTTATTCTGGCACTACAGGCTACGAGGCAGCCTATTAGCGATACCAGCAGCTTCAGAACTACGCGAGCCTTAAAAATAAAAGGGTGATTTTCCTGAAACGACTGTGGCCGTGAAAACAAGCTAAAAGCCATAATAGCACTGGGCTTACCACGACCTGATCCGCTCGCTCTGTGTACCTTGGGGGTCACAACGAATGGCATGTATCAACTCCCGCATGCTATCTGCTACTTAAGCTTGCCCGTGTCAGGCTACTAGCGCGAAACCGCAAGTACAAATAGACCAGCCCATCAATTAGCAGTATCGTGCATGCGCAGTTCGCCGAGGGTTTGCACTTTAGTGCTTACTAAGTACTACCACAATTGGTGACAATTGTATATTTAGATGGGCATAAATAATTTGTCTTTTTCTTCAAAGGTAACAACTGAACAAAGTGAAGGATTTAAAGATTACGATGAAAAGCCTGTTAAATCTGCCTTTGATCCAGCAGGATATGACAAGGAATTAGTAGAGGCATTGGAGAGAGATATTTTGCAGAAAAATCCGAACGTTAAGTGGTATGTAATAGTTCAAAGAAACCCCACACATCATGCACATGTTTTAATCATTACCACAGCACAGCACCAAACAATGTGGTTCTTGTGAGTAGGAACTTTCCCTACTGATTACATCACAACACCCCTCTATAAATGAAATCAATTAGGTATCATGCAATTGCTTTAGGAGAACCACAGTTTTGCAGAGCCCAAAATATATAATTATGTGTAATGACTATAGGAATAAGAATATGTGTAATGAGAGTATGTGACACTGGATGTGTGGATGCTTAACACACCACCACCCCTTGTTCTCGAGACTGGAGCATCCTATGTCTGTTTGTATGCATGAGACCATGTACATATTAAAGTGCTCTTGTGTTAGACTGTAGTTAAATGTGCTTCATTGGCACTTGCACTACAAGACTATCTCTCTTCTCCTCTCACAGCTTACCCTAACCTAGTAGACATTTCAAGCAAGGATAGTCATTTTGCATGTGACGATAGCACACCTGGGTGGCAAAGAATACGCGTGTGTTCTTATTGCATGCTGTTATGCTCTCTGTGAAAAGTATGCAATGTCAGTACCCTCGTGTACAGCTTTGTTGCCAAAATTACATGCCTGTTCCTGTTGGCTTTTTCGGCTTATGTAATTCCATGAGGCACTCTATTAGCTGTGTTCAGTATAGACTGATCGTGACAGTAGCTAAGCTAATCAAGCTAGGTTTTTAATAACGGAGGATATGGGAAGCCAGGCAGAGAAATTCATGTTAGGTTATATACCACAAACTGACAATGTTTGGGCGTGCACAAAGGTGATCAAGGTGATTTTTCCAACCAGTAGAGACATAAGGTGTACAACTTTTTTTAAAAGGTGGTAGGATGGAGAGTCCTCAAAGGTTGGTATGCCTAACAAGAATCCAGAGTCTATAGAATAAGCAGACATTATAGGTGAGAGCTCGTGAGCACTTCAGTGACACAGTCCTCTATGCAACTTCTATTACAATAAGGATTAAATTTCAGAACACAGAAAAGCACATTAGTTGTGCTATGATTTGTGAATACTAAACACTTACCTGCAGGGATGACATTGCAGGACTCAATGAAGCAAAAAGGCTGCTGGAAGAAGCTGTTGTTCTGCCCTTGTGGATGCCAGACTATTTTAAGGGCATCAGAAGACCTTGGAAGGTAAAACTTTAATGCATTGTTTGTTTATAGTCATCTCCACACCCTACCACCTATTGGTTTATCTTTGTCTTGTAATCTAGCTCTCCAATTAGAATCTATAATGCACCATGTTGATTTATACCAGTCTGTGGACCGTAATATTATACAGATGTTTGAGCATCCGATATTGTTGGGCAGGAAGTGGTGCCTACATTTGCTCCATCTGTTATGCACTGAAGGAGGAAGTAGAGTCACGGGAGACTATAAGGGGAAAATAGATTTTGGTGTATGAGGCAGTGATAACAGAAACTGATAGTATAGGGAAAGGATGTAAGGTCAGTCGTGATAAGATCAAGTCTGTGATATAGCACGTGGTGTACAAAATTACACTATTTTGTTATAGCATGTACGTTGGCGGTAGAATTCTTCTTAGGCCTTGCTTTACTGCTGTACTAGTAGATTCATGAATGCTATGTTCCCTGCCCCTCAATTGAAATAGGTGCACGAAACCCATTCTGCATAAGTATGGTATTTCACTCACGTTCCATGTTGTCATGGAACATGATCTAGATTGCTCTTTATGCCCACAATATGTAGAACATAGTCTAGGGATGAACTCTGGTTTTGTACAAAGTTATTTGCAAGCGGAAGTGAGCCAACCCTTGTGATCAACTGGCAACATATTATATATGTAACCCGAGGGACAGAGCTCCCAGAAGGTAGCGTTACGCCTATGTGACAGCTGAAGAATGAGAGACTTGCCTCTTTCAAAGCCGAGCCCAAACACATACGGCGTGCAAAGGAAATCTCTTTGGGTGTGACAGGTGCGCTTGACCACACGCTAAGCTCAAAACCACGCATAGCAAATTGCACGCAAACCTTGCAACCCAGGGAGGCACACCCCAACCAGCTCAGAACTACTATGCAAGAGCACCAGGAGAGTGAGGCCCGAATCCATCAACTGTGAGTGGGACAACAGCACCTTTCTTTGGCCTTCACACTCATGATGCATACATGTGCATGACCACGCCCAAAGGCATTCCGAACTCCTAACCGTAACAATTGCATGACTGAAGCGTGACTAATTGCCTATGCATGACCAATCATAGACTTGGGTGTCTTAATTACTCGTTCTGCTCCTACCTACTGAGTGAGAGTATACTGTGCCATAGCACAGTGGTTTGAAGTTTACCTTTGTGTTGTATTGTGTAGAAGATTTGAACCCCTACCAGCTGGGTAGCTCAGTTGATATAGCATGCTGCAGAGTCTAATGGGTTAGAATCCCACTATTCCTTTTTCCTTGGAAAAAAAGCACTGTCCTGGGTGCACTTGACTGTTTTTGTGCCTTTGCCTCTCTACCTCGTACTTGACATGTTGAATTATAGTTGCTTGGTGCTAGAAAAGTACTATTTTGCCCATTAACCAAGCGTGAATACCACTGATATGAGCAAAAGCTTTCAAAACCCTATCTTCTTGCTTTACTTGTGGCTTAATTAATGCAATAGATATCGATTTGTCTATAACTACTCAAACCCTAAATTGTTACCTCTTTTTTTCAGGGTGTATTGATGGTTGGACCTCCAGGCACTGGGAAAACCCTTTTAGCAAAGGCCGTTGCCACCGAATGTGGCACCACATTTTTTAATGTGTCTTCCTCTACACTTACCTCAAAATATCGCGGTGAATCAGAAAAATTGGTTAGGATTCTCTTTGAAATGGTGAGGGTTTTTTGTGCCATTTTATGGTTGTCTTCTTTTGTTTAAAGTCGTGAGAGAGCAGGGTGAGTGTACCATCCAGCGAGTGGCCTGATGGTACACTCATTCAGGCTCAGATTAGTTTAGAAATACTAACCACTGATGCAGCTTTATAGCAAGATACTTGTTTTTTTTGTAAACTGTATGGCGTAGCCTGGCCCATCAATTACAGTACTTTGTCTGTGTATGTCTGTTTGCCTGTCAGTTTTCTGTGGCTATTCTGGCACAAGGTGGCCTATGAGCAATGCCAACAGCTTCAGCCAGAAAGGTGAATGGCACCATTCCTGAATGACTTCATTAGAGAGATATTGCATGAAAACAAATGAAAAAGCCTATAATATACTTAAGACCAGGCTTAGCCCTTTCAGCGCACCATGACGGTGTGAAGTTACTCAGGGATCTGTATCCACTCCACTGTTTCTCTAAATGCTACCCACTGTTGAAGCTAATGCAAGAAATTTTCTGAGTTGACGGATTAGACCACATGGTGTTGCCCAGCCTATCATTTTTTGCAGCAAATTATTCCACACTTGCAGGCACTTTCCTTTGTGTGAGGGTTTGCACTTTAATTGTTCACATCAACAATGGTCACAATAATAGTTGCTGTCTATCTTTAATGTTCAGGCTCGACATTACTCTCCAAGTACGATATTCATTGATGAGATTGATTGTTTAGGCAGTAGAAGAGGAAGTGAGAGTGAACACGAATCCAGCCGTCGAGTGAAATCTGAGTTACTGATTCAGATGGATGGTAATTGTTATATCTCTCATCAGTCAATGTTTTCATGGATATTAGTTAATCAGTCAACTCTCTATAAATATAGTTCTTTGCTTTACCTGAGTGCCTTTTTAACAATTATTCAGGTGTGGGAGCAGAGAGTGAGAGCTCATCAAAACTAGTTATAGTACTTGCTGCTACAAACCATCCTTGGGATATCGATGAAGCACTTCGAAGACGGCTGGAGAAGAGGATATATATTCCTTTACCTGATGGTAAAGTGCTCATTATTATTACTTAAGTATTGTAGGTAGGCCGTGGTATGTTTAAGGAGAAAAGCATTGAGTGGGTTTATTGCCCTTTTAACTGTGCTGTTGAAAAAACATGTAAGTAGGTGCGAAAACTACTCTAAGCATTATTGATTGACGACGTAAACTTACTATAAACATGGAAAAATCATTTCTATGTCCCCCTTCATTTTGAAGAAATGATTTTTGACTTGTTTCCATGAACAGCTATGACATTGCATTTTCTTATTATTGTCACTCCTGATTTGCATGGGTGATGTTGTAGGCATGGAATAATTTTGAAAGCAGTAGCAGATTGCTGCTGATTCTGAAGCAGGGGGCAGTGCAGACAGAGACCAATTTGTTGTATACAAGGACGTAGTTGGGTTATGGCATCATTGCACTGCGTGGTGGTTCATGGGCAGGCTTTAGTAATCAGATTATGATGTTTGCTAGAGGCTGGGGAACAAACAATGAGACTAGACGTAACTGTACATGCAACAGCTCACTACACACAGACTCTCAAAGTTGCTCTCCGTGCAAACAAGTTAGCTTGTTGGAAATGTGTAGACCGATTGCACATCAGAGAGTTCAGCTCCATATCACACGTGATAGATCCTTATCACCGGAAATCAGCGGTATTTTGATTCAACTTAAGCGCTGCGCATGCCCTGTATCTCGGATCTTTTCGCTGCTTGCATACTTAGTCACCCGACTAACAGCCTCCCAGCAGGCCATGCAATGCTTGGTGGAGGCACTGTCTGACCTTTCACAAATTCCCTGCAGGCAACAGGCATAATTCTCTCGGATCAGCCCAAGGGTATGGGAATAAGGGGAATTTCCCCTCGGGCTGCGCCCACATTTACCCGCTGATGCAATAAGGTCCTACACAGTACCCTGGCACTAGGTAGTTATACCAGAGCTACGTATTCTACCCACCACACCTCCAATCAGAGAGGCCACCTCTCTTTGACGCCACACATTCAGAATCTCAATCCTCAAGGGGGGACTAGATGACTCCTTCAGTCTTCACCCGGAGAGGGGTGAAGACCTTGACCTTCCCTATGGGGAGGAGGTCAAAGAAAAGCTGGTCGAATTTCTAAATGCGTTGCGTATAGTAAGCAAGCGTACTATGCGTCGTGTATAGTAAGAAGTTTACACAGTCAATTAGCAGTTTTATAGGAGAGGAGGGATGGTAATAGCATCACTTTCTACATGACTGTTGCTTAGCTTCTGGTGCATACAGCTTTAACCATTATCTACCAGGACAACTTGTTAGGATGTCCGGCCAAATTTAACAATGGTCTGACACTGTCAGAATAAACCCAAAACCTTATCGCTTGCACTGTGCTCTGTGGTGGGACGTCCTTGCACATATGTTCAGGAAGGTTGAATACAGATCTCTCAATTACTATAGGTCGGCCCTCTCATCAGTCATAGATCCATAGAGGGTTTCCTATAGGCAAGCCACCCGCCAGTGTGCAGAGTATTGATGCCTTTCCTAGTTGCATGCTTAAAGCACTACCTCTCAGTCACGTTGACATTCAGATCCCAGTCAGACGAGTAGGGCTTTGGAACCAGCTGATAAGTCCCTTAAGCATGTCGTCTCGATAGCCAGATGGCTTTTTTCTAAATCAGTACTCCTCTTGGCAGACAGTAGATACTTCTGTAGGTTTATTCAACATCATCAATGACAGTCAGGGTACTGGTTACACCTGCACACCGCAATATATAGTGCTCTCGTCAAAGTTTAGATCTCCTACATGCTATGCCACTGTGTGTCAGTCAATGGTCACTCCATCACTCTCCCCCCCAAGTGAGTTAGGGAACGATGGTTGCGAGCCGATCAGGAAAAGTGCACATGGTCGTCCAGAGCGTTGTCACATGTGGTGGTGTGGAGTGGGATTGCGCAGCAGACGAGTGGTGGGAGTAGTAGGTAGGGGTCTGTGGGGATCGGTGTCATAGACTCCAGGTAGCGGTTGGTTTTCTGGTGTCGGTCCCAGTTTGCACATGACGTCTCTGAGGTTTTGTACAAATGCCACTGCATCAGTTGCCGTAGACGTAGTGTTGGCTTGGAAGAAGTCTCCAGCGAGGTGGTGTAGGGTCGTGTCCATAGGCTAACTCGCTGGACTGCACTGTAGGTCACACTTGATGGTTGTACTAACACTAAGTAGGACTAGCGGTAGGGACTCCACCCAGTGGTTTGCCGGTTGACTGGACTTCAAGGACGCTTAAGCTGCCGGTGTGTGTGAAATCTCCCCACCATCTGTTCGAGATTGGGTGATAAGCCGTTGTCCAAGAAGATGCTTACATCCCAACAGTTGAGTCAACTGTGTCCAGGAGTTGCGAGTGAAACTGCCGACCGCGGTCCGTATGACCGAGGATGGAACTGGTACAAAACCAGGCGACCCAACCAATCACCAAAGTGAGAGCTACTGATCCTGATAAGAAAAAGGCAGCTGTTTTAAAGCCCGCAAATGTTGCAGACCCTGATAAGAAAAGGCAGCTGTTATGGCCTCATATGTTGCAGATCCTGATAAGAAAAAGGGAGCTGTTAAGGCCTCAAATGTTGCGGATCCTGATAAGAAAAGGGGGAGCTGTTAAGGCCTCATATGTTGAGGTCGGGTTCCATCTAGGGAGGGGGTGATGTAACGCTGTTGTAGCTGACTGATTGCTGACTCATCATTATCATTATTGTGCGTACCGTTCTGCCGTGATGTCAGCCATGGTGAATGCTTCGCGCCAACGCGTGAACCAGGTCAACAGATAGGAGAATCCGTGGGAGGGAGGGTAGCGGCCGACGATGTGCGACGTGGAGTGGTCGAACCTGCATCGGGGTACTGAAGGTGACAGTGAGTATCTGTGGCCAGAGTGTAGCGAGATGCAATCAGTTGCCGAGTTTCCGAAGGCCAGGGTGAGCAAGAGAGTGGAGAGAGTTGAACACTGTGCGACGAAAGCCGGCTGGCACAAACGGGTGAGGTGTGCCTGTGCTCATGTCACAACAAGTATTGAAGACGAGGAGGTGTGGCACTGACGCAAATTCAGAGATGACGATGAAGACTACTGCCTGGGTAGGTAGAGCCTCCTGGTCGCCGATTTGTGCTGCTGCCATTGCCTCAAAGTCGACGACTTTAGGTGGTGGCACCGGGAAACTGCTGACTGTTGCCCGGGAGAGGGCGTCACCCACTGGATTAGCTCCACCGCCCACGTGTCGAATGTCAGTTGTAAATTGATCGATCGGGGTGGCGAGCTTGACGGGGGGAGGAATCTGTCTGAGTGGGTGGACAGGGCGAACGTCAGGGTTTATGATCAGTAAGGACAAAGAACTCCCGGCCTTGGATGAAATAATGAAAATGGCTGATGGCGAGATATATTGCCAGCAACTCTCGATTGAACGTACTATACTTTGGTCTCAGCAGGCCGTTAGCTTCTTTGAAAAAGTAGGGCGAACAGCTGCCATCCCTCTGGAGGACTGCTCCCACTGCGAGTCGGAGGGTCTGCCATGATGTACGTGCAGGCGTTGTGATTTGGGGTGCACCAACAGAGTAGCAACAGCGAGGGCGTCTGATGGTTGTGAAGGCTGTCGCTGCTGACTCGTCCCAAATGAACTGACGTGTACTATCTCCAGAGGTCTTTAGAAGCCTGTTGACTGGTCGAGAAGTGAGGCGCAGTGGGGGATGAACCGATCATAAAAGTTGACGAGTCCCAGGTTGGGGAAAGTCGCGGATTAGCGCGAATCCTATCCTCCAGTGGCCGAGTGCTGTGTGCACTAACTCAGTGCCCAGGAAGTCCAGTTCGTTAGCCCCGAAGATGCATTGGCTGGGTTGATGACCAAATCGTGATTCATAGGCGTTGGAGGACTTGACAACGGTATATGGCCAGGAGCGCTTCATAAGGATTACCTGAATTCCTTGGAAGTAGACCCGGGTTGGGTGATACCCCCATTCAACACGATGCCTCCACGGCAAGAGTGGTTGTGGAATCTGCCAGTCGATGGCAGGCGAGGTCGACGACGAGGGTTGTAGTGTCGGACGGGGAAATCAGCGCTATAATCCGTATTCGCGATTACAAACACCCAGCGAAATTTCCGGCGGGGGTCAGAGAGTGAGGGTCAGCGAGCGGGTGCCGTACGTTCGGATGGAGGTGCTATTAACTGCTTGCAACATAAGTGTGTGAATTCGTGAAGTTGCGGTCTAGAGTGTGAGGGTGGAGGGTTGGAATTACGCTGACCTGAGCGCGGGTGTCAACCACAAAGCGGAGACGAGTGGATCTGTCGGTGATTGGAGTAGGTGACATGGGTGTAGGCCAGTGAAGGGAGACAAGATAGGGATGAAGCATGGTTAAATGGTTAAAAATGAGTGGAGACAAGCAAACACCCCCAACCCCATCACACAATCCTATATTGTTGCCTGGTTGTGCTACTCTTATAGGGGCTAAAGGTTACTAAAAGCAAGCATTCTTTCACCTTGTCCCTGTTGTTTTTAGTAACATTTATACTGCCACATTCCCTTTAATTAACTCCACTTGGACACTATAAGGGTGTTGGTTACTCAGTAGTTTATTGTAAGTTCTGAGTATTGTAATGGTGAATGTTCACCTAGGCAACAATATAGGGATTGTGTGATGGGGTTGGGGGTGTCAGCGTACTCAAATCTGTTCATTAACCATGCTTCATGTATCCCATCCCTATCTTGTCTCCCTTTCTTTTTATACCATCCATATATGCCTCTTTTTTTAAATTCGCAGGATTATTAATTTGCTTGTCTCCACTCATTTTTATATACTACGACGTATTATCTCTGTGGAAGGGGGCAAGCCCCTATAAAACTTAATAATGGAGGAAAAAATGCGTGTTGTCGTCATGGAAATGATATGCATACCACATTTCATCTCCATGTGTGCTGCCGTTAGCAAGTTTGAGGAGTGAAGAACTAATTTTAAAGAAAAGTGCCTGAGATTATTGGTTGTTGTGGTCGTCAACAAAACGATGTAATACACATGCGTACCAAGTTTCACCTCCATGTGTGCTACAGTTAGCAAGTTTGAGGGTAATTTTAAAGAAAAGTGCCTGTGGCTATTTGTTGTTGTGGTCGTCATGGAAACGATGCAATGCATGCGCACCAAGTTTCACCTCCATGTGTGCTACAATTAGCAAGTTTGAGGAGTGAAGAAGTGCTTTTAAAGAAAATAGCCTGAGGCTTTTTCAAACTAAATGCGGTCGATGGAAACTATATAATAGGCATACTTACCAAGTTACATCTCTATGTGTGCTACCATTGGAGAGTTTGAGGAGCGAAGAAGTAAATTTAGGAAAAGGGCTGAGGCTATTGTTGTTGTTTAAGTATGTGGTAATTTTTATGTTGGGTGATTGATATATTGGTAATTGCCTGGGGGCTATTGTTTTTGTTTACAGTAAGCAATGTTGTTTACAAAGAATGAAAGGCACTGAAGTGCCAAACCCTCGGCAGGAGTGATACACGCCACCATTATGTAACAGTAATGGGTGGGGCAATGGTATCACCAGGTCTGGTAGAATTGTTGTACTTACTGGTGCTGTATTTAGGTTCATAGATTATTCTTTCCTCCCAAGCCTAACCTAGTGAGCTACAACAAAGGCCTTAGTTGGAGGCATACTTACTGAACTCAACCGTCTTCTCAGTCTAGTCTCACAGAGAAATGAGGGGGAAAATGGCTGCTGGCCACGTGGTCCCAATCAACGTGCACCGCTTTGGCCGCCTGCTGCCTCGGAGTCGCGTGCGTTTTGGTGTATACGCACATGCGCGTTGTTAAAATGGCCGCCCTTGTCGTACCGTACGAACAGGAAACGCTCTAGCTTTGCAACGAAGCAGTTTCAGAGAAAATCCCACATATTTTCCCACCTCCGTCGGCCGCTGGGTATGTAAACCCGTTTTGGAAGCGATCTATGACTGGAGAAGTGAGTTCTCACTTAACTGACAAAAGCACTAAAGTGCGAACCCTCGGCGCATTGTGACGCGCCCGCGTGAGTAAACGCATGCGCTGTATCACTAATCGATGGGCTGGGTTTAGTTTTAGCTGTTACTCGTGGTCTCTTGCCAGCTTGCGCAGAGTCTGACGCGGGCTAACTACACTACTAGATAGCATGCGAGAGGCAATACACACCCTGCGTTGCATCTTCTGGTGCCTCCGAGGTATATACGCAGAGCACGCGGATCGATCAGACCGCGGTAAGCCTTCCCGTCCGTTGCGTATTTGCATATTGGCTTTTTTGCGCTCTAGCTCTGCAACGGAGCATTTTCAGAGAAAAACCCCACATATTTTCTGACCGTCGTAGCCGTGGGTAGATGGTATCGTTTCTGGGACGAACAGACATTCGAGAGGTGAGATGTAGAGTAACAGACAGACACACGGACGGACAGACCCAACTAATGTAACCCTCGCTGCGCATGCACGCCGAGGGTTAATAAGTATGACCAATCTCTTCGGGTGATGGATATCTACATTGTTACAAAAGTTCATTACTATAATTATGTTATTTCGTTTTTGAGTCACTCGAGTTCAATCTGAAGAAGGAGAAGAAGAAGAAAACAAAACTCCCTATGATAGCCCCATACATCTATGATGCTAGGTACCATGCCAATCCTTTACTACCGTACTTAATGATACAGCAGAAGGCAAAGGCAACCTAAACTCTCACTTAGTAATTTTTTGACACACGTATGATTTTGTAACAGTACACTAAAGAGTACAAGGTTTGCGACGCTGCTATATGCATCTGACCGCCAAAAAAGTCGTTTTGCTGCATAAATGCTAATTACACATATACATTGCAAGATAACCTGTAATAATTTTTTTTCAGTGAAAGGGCGTTTGGCACTCCTAAGAATCAATCTTAAGGATGTCACGCAGTCAGATGATTGTGATTTGGATGAAATTGCTGAAATGACTGAGGGATATAGTGGTGCTGATATAACAAATGTCTGCAGGTAAAAGATTGTATGAATAATAATTTCTCTCCAAGTTTTAGACTGCTTCTACATGTCTGTGTTTAGAATTGCTACGGGTGTTTCTGACCACTTAATTTCACAATGCATGACTAGTTTTCTTTCATGTCAAACAAAATTTTAAGACTTCGTTTAATTGCCCTTGTAATATAATGAGTACTGCACCCATACATTTTTGTGGGGCTTATGCACTGCCCATGCACAAAGTAGCTCTATAAACACTTGTGAAGCGGTTTAAAGGGTTTGCCAACACCAGAAGTAGGTGTTATAATGCTTCATAGAGTCTTTGTGCAACATACAGAATACACGTTTGTGCATTGCAAGCACAGTAATCTACATGTAAATATTTTCCATTCTGTAATGTAAAGTCATAAACATGCAACACTAACACAAAGCCTCCAAATTACCATGCCATCAAACAAACCTTGAGTCTCATAGCATCATAATAATAGAATTGAGAGTTTCTGTCGTAGCACGCTTATTCAACAAGATTCGTTGTTTCATCCCAAGGACCTTCATCAGCCTTCAATAAAACGTGCACAGAAACACCTTATCCTAGTTTACCCTGTGGTCTTCATCCAATGTTGGTTTCTTCCATATGTCTCTGCTTCGAGTTTCCCTTTATTTCACCAAGATGTACCTCCCAATCAAGGAAAAGGACTTCATTTACCACACGTTTATTTAGTTTTACGGTCTTCATTCTTTCCAGCTTTTCCTGTAGTGTGTAGTGTGACAGTTTTGATATTTTGATGTGACTGTATCTGTTCCGACAGTACAGGACTGACAGGATCTTTTGCCTCTTTGAGCTCACTACCTAGAAGGTATTAGTTTGTTGTGGTCGATCCCTGAGGGCTCTTGTGATGAACTGATTATAATAACCTTTTTTCGGAAGACCTTCCTGCTATGCGTTTTCTCTTCCTGTTTGGTCCCTGCACCACAGACTCTGCCCATCCATTACTTTATTCATCCTGCCTGACTCGTGGTGATGAGGTAAAGTTGATGTTCATGTGACTTTCTGTAGACCTCTGTTATGATCCCCCTTAAAGAGATGTTTGGTTGCTTGTAAAACTACCCTCTTTCCCTGACACAATCTCTCTATAAGATTATTGAATTTTGAATTTTGAAACGACTATGCTTGCAAACATGGGCTGTTACGTCATTTAAGTTTCACGAAATATGCACAATCAGCAGTTACATATTACTATAATGATATATATAGTAACAGGGTTCATACATGTTCCATGTTCACTACTGTTACCTCTGTCCGGCTGTTCCCTCGTTCCCTCTGTTCCCCCATGTTCCCTCTGTTCCTGCTGTTCCCTCTGTTCCTACTGTTCCCTCTGTTCCTGTGTTCCCTCTGTTCCTACTGTCCCTTGTTCTCAATGTTCCTCTGTTCTTGTGTTCTACTGTTACCAACGTACTCCGTCACGCTCCCTTTTACGCATAGGGTAGGTTTTTTGCCGATCGCCATGTCCATATGCAGTTACTCCTGATGTTATAACCACCAATGCCACAGCTTTTGTGGTGCATGTCATCAGTTGCTGCTGGACATTATGATGCTGCCCTTCCATGCCACAATACACTCCAGAGACTTCTGAGAGAAAGCTTTAAATGCAAGCTGTGGACATCAATGATAAATCAGGGAGGGACAGTCATGTGTAACAAGCTCAATATATGCAACAAGATGCAAGTGTTTCTTGATGTCACGTAGTGTTCAGACTTATGCCGCTGTGTCAATTGCATAATACCTACGGATCAGGCCTCGCGAGACTAAGTGTGTAGTAGAAAAAGAAGAAGGCATACTCTTCAACAAGCTTACAGACTAGTGAGAATTTGTTAAGATAGAGTGAGAAAAGTTGGTGAAGTGTGCGTGGTCAGCCTTGGAGAGTATTGTTCTAATGAGATATGCAAGGATGAAAATGAAGATGTTGCAATTTTGAAGCTATACAATGACATTGTTTATTATCTACTACACCTTACTCCATTGCCCCACTTCCATATAAATGCATACTAAGGAACAAAACATGGGTTCAAATTCAGGCAAAAAACACCACATTATGGTACGAAATAACACCTTACCGAGAATTTCCAAAACAAGAAAGCGAAAGTGACAATCGTAGTGTAGGGTAGTAGTTTAGTAAATACAATCACTTTTGTTTAGTTTATAATGCCTCACTATATCATTCATTTACTTCATATAGTGTGTGTCAGAGTATGAAGATACTAGTAATATGCAGAATGCGCAGGTATGCCGTGCGCGCATATTGGAACAATAATCGGTAACACAATATACATTCTGTGAATATTTTGCAGCTTCTGCACCTCTCACACTGGCCGTGTTTGC